AAAACATATTCTTTGACATTCTTGATACTATCATTTAAAATAATCTGAAAAGCTAAAAATACTGTGGGCTGGTACAACCCTTGTAAAGAGTCACTCCCAAAGGCCATTGTAATAAGTCCAGCCTTTTTGTTGTTAGCCATGAGTGAATAAGTAAACTGGAACTGAGACCATGAATGCGGGTGTCTCCAATCTCTACCTAACCACAAACTCCATGCATGATTGGGACACGGGTCAGCAGCCCTCCTGGAAAATGAAAGAATCCCCCCTTTCACAGATGTTTATCATATGTTTACAAAGAGTTTTAATCATGTAGTTAGCATGATATCATTTTATAATATATTACTTATGGGAACATACTTTCCTTATCTAAATCATACTGGGAAACAATGAGTTCCTTTCCTAAGACTCAGCTTATTTTGTCAGATTTTTTTTTTTCCTGTTCAGCCTTCTATGATGGATTAGCCTTAATTATTCTATCTTTATTTGGAAAAGAAAACTACTGGAACTATATGTCTAGGAACTTAATCTCTCTTCTTTGGAATCAGTTGACTTTAACTGGAGAAGTAATTTTAATGAGTTCCTCTGAGATTGAAAAATAGAGACAATTTTAATTAAAGCATCAGGAACTACAAACTTTCCTGAGAAAACTTTTCCTTTGTATTTGGATCATATGAATAATGCCTTTAACTCAGTAGGAGACATAAATATACCTGCTTTATTTGTGTAGATTTTGATAACAAAACATTAACAGTAGGGCTGGGGTTGTAGCTCAGTGATAGAACACTCACCTAAGCATGTTCAAGGCCCTGAGTTTGATCCTCAGCACTACATAAAAATAAATAAGTAAAATAAAGGTATTGTGTCCAACTAGAACAAAAAAAATAAATATTAAAAAAAATTAATAGTATAAACCTTGGGATGTCTAGTTGCTTTAAAGAAGGTAGTATAGTTCAGTTTATCTTTGTTTTCTTAGCTTTAGTTATAGTTCATATTTTAATAATTCAGAATGATACCCTCAGATCTGCCCTCATGGACCTTAGCGTCTAGTTCCACAAAAAATATCTTTTTCATCTCATAAACTGGCTTGTATGACTAAACTCTATTGCATGCCTCAGATAATATTAATAACTACCTTGAAATAAGTACTATTTGAAAATATAAGAGCTTAAGATAATATTAAATAAGTTCAAATGTTCAGTGTAAATTACTGGATAAAGTGTGATGATTTAGAATAAATAATTACACAATTAGGAGTTAATGCAGAATGCTAGTTTTTGTTGTTGTTTGTTCATTTGTTTGTTTTTGAGACAGAGTTTCTCTAAGTAGCTGAGACTGGACTTCAAAATGAAATCCTCTTGCCTTAGCCTTGGAGTCTGGGATTATAGTCGTTCACCACCATGCCCAGCTTTAGAATAGTAGTAATAATTCAACTGTCTAAGATCAACTTGTGTCTATGTAAATGATAAGCTGAAGGAAGAAATGTAAAAGAAACCAACTGAGTTACAGTTTCTTGGTATGAAACTTTTATATAAAACGCTGGTCCTAGATATTTATTTGACTCCCAACTTCAAATTCCTAATGCACCTCAATGCAGGGTCACCATGGTGTGGCAACTATCAACTTGAGCAATCTCACCAAAGGAAGAGGACTCATGGAATTCTTAACAAAAACTTTTTAAAATATGACATAAATGCTGGGAATGATAAATAAACAGGAATGAGGAAAAGGGGTGAAATTAGAAGGATCAGGAGGAGAGTTACACTGTTTACTGATACCTGGTAAAATTAAAACCACGCATTCCCCACATCCATTACACAATTTAAAAACTATGAGCTTAAACTATTTCAATTGATTTATTAAGCATTTTTAAAACAGCATATTTCACAATTATTGTCTGTACAAAGTAATTTATGCACAGTGCAATAAATAATTTATATCCTCAAAACTATCCTTGAAGTTTGAACTGATATCTTACATTTTTTAGTGAGAATTTCCAGCCTATACCAAGCTTGTCAGTTTGCCAAATTTGAAATTCTTACGGGGCTTGCTGTTCAAGTTATTTAATTCTACAAGTGGCTTATTTTCTTCTCACAATAGCCATTTTATAAATATGTCCTATATCTTCCTAAGCATGACATATTTTTAGCTTCTTCAGGCCTGACTTAATACTATATACATTTTCAATTTCCCTACCCAGTGGTGCATGGTGTAGACAATCAATAAACACAAGATTGTCATAGTAAGTAGAATGTCATTTTAACTGAGGGATAAATACAGGTGCATTATAAAAAAAAATAACATGAATTCTATGTCAAGTATCAATTGTCTATCTTGTGTGTATTGTAAATACATACTTGTGAGACAGCAATTTTTCTGCTTAGTACTCACACATTTGATGTAATATTTATGTTTCGATGTACTAAAATATAACATCATGCTTCTCATATGATTTTAAACAAAGCAGATGGTACAATACTTCTCATATTTAAAGAAAGGATTATGGTTTAAATTTATAATTGATAATATTAAATTATATATTTTGAGTGTTAAAATGGGCATATTGATAGATTACTAATCATTGCCAATTATTTAGTATTATCATACTTTCAACATATATTTTTGTTGTCATGTGAAGTATTCTTGCTTCATATTTTTAGATTTTTACAAAAGAAAAGTCAAACTACATGAGATGTTATACACCCCAAGATTTGCATATTAAAACTTAAGATGAGTTGGTAGCATTTGAAATAAAAAATGCTGGCTTCATACATAAAAAGATAAAATTTTAAAACCTATTCTCACAACTACAATGCAGAAATATCTAGTTTGCCATCATTGGTGATGAGCGAATTTTGTTTGATAACTTGAGAGAATCCCTCATACATTTGAAAAGCCTTGTTTTAGGAGATTTATTGTTTTAGGAGATTTAGCAAATCTGAACAAACAATTTCTCTTTGATTAACAGGTGTTTCAATGAATGTGTAGTTTAAAAATTTATATTTGTAGGCTTAAAAGTGCCTGAATCTGAAAGTTCAGCATTAAAAATATTTCTACAAAAATTAAGCCTCAGGTGTACATACACATTTTATCTAGGACATAAAAATTAAAAATAAAATTTTATCGCTGAAAGCAAAGGGTACTTTGCACTAAAATTGCTTCAATAAATTGGATTTATGGAATGACTTATAAATCTAATTAATACTAGGGGCCATGCAAGGTCAGCTAATTTGGTCATTTATGGTAAAGAGATTTAGGTCTTTTAAGTATTTCCCCAGGTTCAGTGTCTAATTACTAATAAAGTGTTTAGGGAAACTATTAATCTCTGTTTTGTTTACTTACTTGTAACTTGGGTAAAACAATGTTTATTTCATATTGTTGCTGTGTTGAGTCCAAAATGTATGGGGAAAAAATCACAATACTTTGTACATAGTGAACTCCATTCTCTGAATGAAATTTCTCACTGACTTATTGATTTTTCATCTAGATTGAAACATAGCAAGTGGCATTTCCAGTAAGAAATCAAACAATGATATAGACAGAATAGTGGGTTGGATTTGTTGTTGTTGTTTGTTGCTTTGATTTTTCAGACCGAAAATGAAACTCTTTTTTTCTAAATTTATTTATTTATTCTAATTTGTTATAAGTGACAACAGAATGCATTTCAATTAATAGTACACACATAGAGCACAGTTTTTCATGTCTCTGGCTGTACACAAAGTAGAGTTACAACTTTTGTGTCTTCATACATGTACTTGGGGTAATGCTGACCATCTCATCCCACCCCCCCTTTTCCTCCATCCCGTTTGGCTAATTTAAAATTCCTCAATTCTTTCCATGCCTGTTATGGATCAGCATCTTCATATCAGAGAAAACATACGTCTTTTTTTTTTTTTGAGATTGGCTTACTGCACTTAGCATTTTATTCTGCAACTCCATCCATTTACCTACAAATGCCATAATTTTATTCTCTTAATGCTGAGTAATATTCCACTGTGTATATGTACCACAGTTTCTTTATCAATTCATCTACCAAAGGGCATCTAGTTTGGTTCCACAATTTAGCAGTTGTGAATTGTGCTGCTGTAAACATTGATGTGGCTGTGTCCCTGTGGTATGCTGTTTTTAAGTCCTTTGGGTATAAACCAAAGATTGATACAGCTAGGTCAAATAGTGGTTCTATTCCAAATATTCTAAGGAATCTCCATACTGCTTTTCATATTGGCTGTACCCATTTTCGGTCCAACCAGCAATATATGAGTGTGCCTTTTCCCCCACATCCTCACCAACACTTATTGTTATTTGTACTCTTCATACCTGCCATTCTGATTATAGTGAGATGAAATCTTAGAATAGTTTTGACTTTCATTTCTCTAATTGCTAGCAATGATGAGCGTTTTTTCATATATTTGTTGATTGATTGTATATCCTCTTTTGAGAAGTGTCTGTTCAGTTCCTTAGCCCATTTATTGATTGGGTTATTTGGTTTTTTGATGTCAAGATTTTTGAGTTCTTTATATATCCTAGAGATGAGTGCTTTATCTGATGTGCATGTGGTGAAAATTTGCTCCCATTCTGTAGGCTCTCTGTTCATCTCACTGATTGCCAAAATGAAACTCAAAAAATCTTTGCTTTCCCCTTCAATTAGAAAGATTTTCCATCTGTTTTTTGTTTATTTGTTTGGTTTAGTTTTTTTTTTCTTTTTGAGATATAATTCCTTATCATTCCCTAGCTATTTGACATTGGTTGTCAGTATTAATGAATTTCATTAAGACAGAATCAAAATGTTAAAAAGGATATTTCTCATTTTGCTTTATAGGGATCCCTGACATACAAACTACATTTCCCAACAACAAAATAATGAATTCTAGTTACTAGAAACAAATATTATGTTTGCAAATCAAAAGTTAAATAAAAAAAAGGTTTTAAGATTTGTAATATTTGGGAGCCATCACAAGAAGGTTAACACTGCTTGAAAAATCCCATCTGGTTTTTCCTTTTAGGGAAAGGTGAACATGGGAAGCCTTACCCCCTTACTGAAGAGGACCATGATGACTCGGCATACAGGGAAAATGGTTTCAATATTTTTGTCAGCAACAACATTGCCCTAGAGAGATCCCTGCCAGATATTCGCCATGCTAAGTGAGTATGGGCACATCCAGCATGTGGTGTCTTTGGTTTGTTTGTTTGTATTGTTTTCTGTTGTTTGTAATGTGTATAACTGTGATATGTGTCATCAAAAATTTTGCCCTGATAATTTTTATAAATAATTTTGATATAGCTCAGTTGGTAGAGTGCTTGCCTAGCACGTACAAGGCCCTGGGTTCACTCCACAGCACCACCAAAAAAAAAAAAAAAAAAAGGAAAGAAAACAAAGAAAGAAAGAATTGTATTTCATAATCAAATATGTTGCATTTAAATTAGAATAACCTTCAAATTTTCAGGAGAATTACTACCAACCAATATACATTTTCATTGACTAAATAATCTCCATTTAAAATGAAGTGTTTTAAGATATTACCTGTACTCTTCACCCATGATCATGTAGATTATGAGGTAAACATCCTTTGCTGGTGGTTAGTACTATCAATGCTAACTATAGACACAAACCTCCTGTGACTCCATTCACATCCAGCCATATTTAATGTCATTATTGTGATTCTTACATTAAAAAAAAGCTTAAAATGAATGCATTCATAATTCAGAAGTAACAATCACATATTTAATTTGCTGACACTGTGAACTCCTTGTGGCTTGCTAATTAACAATGAGTTCAGTTTTTATGGGATCATAGGTAAATTTCCTAGTGTAAATGAAAATAATAATAGTACATAGTTACCGAAATTTATTTTCTCTCCAATCACCCCTATGTTCCTCTAAATGGCTTGGTCTACTTTCTGTTCTAATCCACTGTGGTTTTCCCTGATAGCTTAAACAAGGCCAAAAGGGTACAAAGAACATGGAATATGAGTGGAATTTGGGATGTTTTTTGCCAGGCTTATTTAATAAATCCATCCAACAACACTAATATTTTAACCTAACCCCTACCTCAATCTCCTTATGGAAATACTAGTGTGGGGGGAAAAATCGGAGAAAACAAAATCATAGAAACTAATGAAAATAAAGTTTAGGAATCTAAATTAAAATAGTAATGTAAAATAAATAAAAGTCTTATTCGGGGGCAATGATAATTAATCCATTAGATAAAATTCAGTGAATTGTGGTTTGGGGGACCTTTTTCTTATTGTTATAGTGTGTCTTCATAAATTAATTTGAAAATATATAAGAATTATTGGTTTTCTCCTCAGGTTTTACGTGAATTTGCATTCCTCAATATAGTTAAGCAGAGGATTAATGTGAAGAACAAATCAATTTTTCCCTAAACTGGAGGCTTTATATATTGGTCTAAGCCTTTTAGCCAGCCAAATTATTCCCAAGTTACCTGAAATTATCTACAGTAATTCCCACTGACCGAGAACATTTCTAGTTATGAGAAATTTTAATACCTAATTGCACACCATCAAAAATGCATTAAATGGCATTGTTGGCATAATTAATATGCTCAGAGAATAACTCTATCCACCCCTTTCCACCCCCACATTTCCAATCTTTTAATGTGTATTCAACTGGAAAGGATTGCAGGTGAAAACAGGGCAGAAAAATCACTGAAGTCAAAAGAAGGCTGATATTCCCACTCTTCTCACAGAGTATATTTTAGTGTAGCTATCACCTTTTAAGAAAAAAATATATTTTAAGACTATGTGCAAAAAATGGCCAAATGAAAAGAAAAATATTTTGAAATTTTCACTATAGTCATGAAGTTTAGACTATGAAGGAAACATTATTGTAAACACTAAGGAAGAACAACATGGTTAAAAAATCTGTGTTAGGCCACGTTATTACTTAGTTACTGAAGCTGATATCTAATAGAACAAATAATCATGTAGTAAAATGATACCAAAAAAGAAAATAAAGTGTATGCACATGTACACACAGACACACACACACACACACACACACACACACACACACACACACACACCCCAAAATAGAGGCTTAGAGTTCAATGTCAGGAAAGTGTTAAGGAATAAGCAGGAATGATGGCTTACCTTGGTTTGTACAGGATCTAACTCTAAGCAATGCAGGAAGAAGAGTCTGATGTTACTTCGAATGTTGTCAATGTCCCACCTGCAGGAGACCAACAGCTAAAAAGTCTTACATGGATGGTACTGTTTAAAAGTCCTATGCTTTTGCCTTTATCTGTGCTTCTCAAAATGCAGCTACATTTCACTCTAATAAACATGGAGCTCTGTGTAAGTTGTTATGGGAATGCAAAATGAACTGAACACATATTTCAGGATTATCAACTTAGCTTACATTGCAGATCATTGAATACAGCTTGTTTATATTGATGCAATCTATAAAAGAGAATGCAAACTTTGGGTGATTTGAGAACATAGCAGTTCTAAGAGACGGCATTTGCATTCATCCAATTCAAACTGTAGGTTCAGAGTGACAGGAGGGAAGAGCTCCTTTTTCTTGGCTCTAGTATTTTACAATGGAAGATATCAGATAAATAGTATCCTGCAATTTTGTTTAATATGATCTTTGCTCAAATACCTATAATCATAGTATTTATGCCACTGACCTATACTATTGATAATTTTCTTTGTATATTCAAGTATTCTGCACCTGTTCAGATTCTCACATTTAGTTAAAAAAAAAAATCCATGATTTTAGATGTTGTAGTCAACTATTTTGCTACTGTGACCAAAAGACTAAACAAGAACAATTTTAAAGGAGGAAAAGTTTATTTGGGGGCTCACAGTTTCAGAGGTCTCAATTTGTAGATCACCAACTCCATTTCTTGGGGTCTGAGGTAAGGCAGAATGTCATGGTAGACATGTGCAGCAGAGGAAAGCAGCTCAGAAATTTGCACAGGAAGCAGAAAAAACAGCTCTGCTCAACAAGGACTAAATATATACTCCAAAGGCACACTCCCAGGGACCCACTTCCCCTGGTCTCTCCTACTTGCCTTAAGTTACTATTGAAGATTAATGCACTGATTAGGTTAAAACTCTCACAGCCCAACTCTTACTTCTAAACTTTCTTGCATTGTCTTGCATATGAGCTTTTGGGGAACACCTACATCCAAACCATAACACTAGGTATTTTTCTATGCTTAGTGTTCATTCTAGTTCATTGTGAAGAATATTCAGAACAAGTTATTTTACAAATCACAGTCCACAAGGCATTGTTCTTTTATTTTTCCTACTCCTTTCTTGTTCACTGGTATAGAAATGAACTACCCTACTTATGTTGCTGTAATTTCATAAGTAATGAAATAAGTAATGTAAGTAATACATTTCCAAAAGGAGGAGCAATATATGAAGGAAAGTACAATGAACTCAGGCCAGCAATAATCTGATACATCTTACTTAAATCCTATAATAAATTTCAAGCTTTTCTCTTATATTTTCATTTTTTACAACTTTTTTAGCGTCTCCCTATATTGCATATTATTTAAATTTTCACATCATCCATGCTTTAGTATTGTCAAAATTTTCATCCCTTTTTCCATACTCACTCTATATTTTTGGTTGACTTTTGCATGTTTTGGAAGATATTCTCTACATATTTTAAATATGTACTCTTTTATGTTTTTGCCAATTCGTGTTTATATCCCCAGTGCCTGGAATTTGTCCTAGAACATTTTATGTACATATTTTATTTCATGCAATGCTGATACAAATTTTTGTTTGAGTAAATTTTGGTGGAAAATATCCAGTCAGTGGATATCCTGCTGGCCTGGCTTCATTTTACCATATTTTGTTTTTTATTCTCACCTGAATACTGATTGTACTTGTTCGCCTATCTCAGATGTCAAATATATGCTGTGTAAACTGTAGGACATCTCATTTATCTTCCAACTTAAGATGGGAGGTGTAAGAAATCAATAAAAGTACACAGAAAATAGGAAAATTAAAATACTATGTAGAAATGGCCTACAAAGAAAAGAAACACCAATAAACTTAAACATAAATGTATTGTTAATAAGACAAGAATAAAATAAAATGATAATTATTTGAGCAAATGTTATTTCCTAGATATGAACAAACTCATCAGTAGTTATAATAAGTACCTTTCAAAACATGATATAACTAATAAGTATAAGACGAATTTACATCTAAGAAAAGACAAAATAAGAAAAAGATTAAGGGACAGAAGATGGGGCTGGAGATGTGGCTCCAGCGGTAACGCATTCGCCTGGCATGCACGGGGCCCTGGGTTCAATCCTCAGCACCACATAAAAATAAAGATGTTGTGTACACCAAAAACTGAAAAATAAATATTAAAAATCTCTCTCTCTCTCTCTCTCTCTCTCTCTCTCTCTCTCTCTCTCTCTCAAAAAATAAAAAGAGACAGAAAAGCCACTTATATTAGAGTTAAGGGAGGTTTTGCATAGGACCCAGGTAAACACATCCTCAATATGGACTTCATTGATCTTTTGTGTTTGTTTTTTGCTATTATTAAAGTATATATGTTTATCTAAACACACACACATATAAATAAATACATATATACATATCTTAGTATTCATTTCTAAGGAGGCTAAGAAGCTACAATATTTTCAAATTTTAAGTCTTTCTCTATGTTCTAGCTTTTCCTTTTTTATCATTTCTTTTCCACAACACTGATATTCCCTAGATAGGAAAAATTTTAGCTTCATGACTTTGACAATAAATGGAGTCTGAATGTTAAGAGAAAACTATGATATCTTATGTCTTGTAAAAACACAGGACGATTTTTTTACAACGTCTTATATTCTATGATCACTTTCAGTAGTGTTCCAGTTATATCAAACTAGTTTATCACAAGTCTAATCCATGCACAATTTCAAAACCAAGTGAGAAATTGTCCCAGAAATAACTTGGTATTAAAATATTACTTTCATTATTGAGGTCTTGTTGGTGAGCATGGATTAGATGTGGTCCGAGTATCATATCTAATATCAAACTTCAGAAGGAGATACAGTCAGTCTTGAAGTCAGAATCCTGTTGGACAACATATAGGCAACTCTCAATCTAATCTCTCTAGGCAAACATGTCCCAAAGAAGAAGAATGAAGGACTTGCTGAGCTA